CATGTGTAGCTGTTAGCATGTGTAGCTGTTAACATCTGTAGCTGTTATCATCTGTAGCTGTTAGAGTCTGTAGTTGTTAGCGTTTGTAGTTGTTAGCGTCTGTAGTTGTTAGCATCTGTATTTGTTAACATCTGTAGCTTTTAACATCTGTAGTTGTTAGCATCTGTAGTTGTTAGTGTCTGTAGTTGTTAACTTCTGTAGCTGTTAGCATGTGCAGCTGTTAGCATATGTAGCTGTTAGCATGTGTAGCTGTTAGCATCTGTAGCTGTTAGCATGTGTAGCTGTTAGCATGTGTAGCTGTTAGCATGTGTAGCTGTTAGCATGTGTAGCTGTTAGCAGCCACGTGTCGTCGCGTGCTTGGATAATCTAGTCTCGTGACTGTGTCTCTATTTTTCTGTGTAGGAGCAGGAGCTTCACGTCAGACCTCCACCAACCACATGTTTGTTCTCTAACAGGTATGGTTGTAATTTCTAGTAAAGTTGTTCAATATTAAACTTCGGTCCAGCAGCCTCCACTTCAAAAAGTCAGTGCTCACGCGGTTTGGTTGTGCACGCGCTAACACCACCAGGTAGTCACGCTTGCGAGGTTCTTTCAAAATAAAAGCTGATGTGTGTCTCCTGTTGGTACAAACTCTGGACATAAAACACGTGTTAGCACTGGAAGCTGTAACGGGACCAACATTCCTGCTCAGCTGTTTCCACAAAAAGTTTCAATCTCGCCCCCATATCCAAAGAGTAGAGAACTTTTTGTGTTGTAAGTTAAATAAATAAAAAACTCCAGTGAGTTTTTCACGTTTTGACTCGAGTTGATTGAAGTCATTCTTGCTGGTCCTTGTTCAGAAATGATTTTTAATGTCCGCCTGTGAATATGATCCATAATATTTGACTTTAGTCTCTGTTTTGTGGTTATTTGTATGTTCATGATGTGAGAATGTTCAATTGTTTTCCCTGAAGTTTCCATTAATATTAAAACAAAACTCTTAGTTTCCAGTGACCAGTCTCACTTCAGGCTGACTGTAGAACATCTCCAGATGTTGCTCACCAGATGTCACCAAGATCTCATGTGGAATTTCAAAATAAAGGCCCTCCAAAGTTGGACATTTTCCATAGAATTGTCCCTAAGTTTCTGTGTTTGTTGCTCGTTCTTCAGGATGTTGTAGAAACAGCGAGGGTAAGTACGGCTTTACCAGAAATCACATCATTAGTGCAGAAAATTTATTGTCTCGTTGAAATGCAACATAGTTCAAGTAAAAACAGGAATGTTTCATTTAAAATCATTTATATGTTTAATATTTTAAGTGACAATAACCATTTGGAAAAATAAAGTTCAAATTGTACATTAATGTCAGAAATGACATTTATATCATTTTAACATCAAGTGTTTGTTTTTCCTGGTAAATGTTGAGAATTACAAGAGCTTTGTGTTATTTGTCCATGTCGACCAAAATCACTGGAGGTTTCTGGTTAGTGTGCATAAAAATGATACTTGTTGTTCTCTCAGAACATTTTAATTTAAAGTTTCATGTTTTGATTTGTGCAGAAACTCTGTGAACCACACAGTCTTTCTGGTGGATCAAGTTCAGCAGAAGACGATTCAAAAGCTGCAAAAACATTTAGGTAAGTATTTATTAAGAGACAGAGGAGAAAAGTCTAACACTGAATTATATCTGGTGAGCTGCTTTTAAAATGATTTTAGTTGCTGTTATGGCCATGAAGGACAGAGTGCACGTTTTATTCAAGTTTGATTCAGGAACATCATAAATTACACATGAATGTTTTTCACTGAAACTAAATGAATCTTCAAACTTGTTCCTGATCATTTTGAAAGAGATTTAGTAACAACTTGAGTTGGACACATCATGCCAGTGTAAGGACGACACGTGTTCCTTGTGTTGTGGCTCCTACAAAGTTTCTGAACACTTGAAGTCGTCCTGCTACATTTATTAAACATCAAATGTCTCTACAGCTTTCTGTTCTTTGATCAAATAGATTTTCTGAATCATTAAACTTCATTTCCTTCAAACTACTAATTGGTTTAGATTTGTTCAAAAACCCACATTTCTCTAAGTCAATTGATCAAAACGTGCACGTTATTAAAATGCAGTCAGTTCTCACACTCACTGTTAAAGTCTAATAGAAAATAAATCAGTCAGAGTTCATTTAAATGTTGCTCATTAATTGTTCTTTTAATTGTAATTAGAATATTTAGCTGATGTTCAAATCAGTTCCTACAACTTGTGTTTCTTGAACAATTAGTTTCAAATATTTACTGATTCTATTAAAAGCTGCAACAGAGTTGAGCTGAACTGAAGGAGAGCGCGTCAGAAAAATGTGATTGTGTGACGTTAAATAGAACGGAGGCGTCGTGCTCCAGCCGCTCCAAAAGGATGGAAATATCTGCTGGGACATTGTTGTGGTAGTTGTTCACTGGAAAGTTGGTGAAACTTCATGTGTGGAGCTTTTGTTACTTGTTTATTGTTTGTACCTTTTCTTATGGTTTCTATATTTTTTAGATTGCCAGAGAAGTGATGAAGACTTTCCTGATATTCCAGCATCAGGTTTGAAAGATCCAAACTGGAAATCATAAAGTAAAGAGGAATGGGTCAACAGATACTGACTGCATCAGGTTTGGTCCTGAAGGTTTGATTTCAACATTCTAATAGACTTACGCATTATTGTCCAACAAGGAAGTGACTAAAAATAGTTCACTCTGAAGATAATAATATTTTAAAGTACAAAGGTTGTTAAGAAGGTGAAGAGGAGACGAATAATATCTGATTGGTTGAGCTGAGAAATGAAAAGGCTGAATGTGATTCAAATAAGTGATAAAGTTCACAATCACATTTGACTCTTCAAGAGAATTGTGTGTAAATAAATCAAACAATGATGTGTTTGAAGCTTTAAGGTCAAAATGCAGGTAAATCCAGTCAGAAATGTTCTTTGTATAAAACTAAACACTAGAACTCGACCTGACTGGATAAATGTGGATCCAGCAACACAATTCCCTCAAAAACTACGTTTCTACTGCAGCTTTGCAAAGTATTACTGTGTGAATGTAAAATATGTCGTATTTAATTGTAATATGTTTCTTCTGAG